AAGGGAGGTAGGAAGTTTCATAGGGGAAAAAAACCACACATATATAATGAAATAATGCCAAACCCCAAACTAAAGTATTTACAAGATAGTCCCTTAAGCATAGTTTGTCACATTGCAATTACACCTTGCCTACTGCCAAGTCAAAGTGCTTACTACTGCCACTAGGGGGAGAAATGTCTTAACACAAAGCAACTGGCAGACAGAGAACGGGTTTTCTTGAGCAATTATCAGAACAAAGCTCCCTTGGCTGTGTGTACCTTCTAATTACTCAATACAATTAAAATGACTAACCTAAAACAAATAGAAAAAATACCCTGCCTGCCTGATATCAGGGACTTCATTAAACCTTTCCCCCTCATCAATCAAATCAGAAAAAAGGAAATGAAATCATATAAAGCATAGCAGAACTATTAAAGGAAGTAAATAAGTGAGTTTGTTTTTAAAGAATGAAAAGAAGTGGCTCTCCTGAAAAAAGAAACGTTGTGGTATTTACCCATCTGGATGCTGCTTGAAAACAAATTGTCCTCCAAAGAGCAGAAATACAGTATGTTTTCTCTCAGTTCACTGGCTTATGAATGACTTTTCGTTGTTGCCGTTGTTTTGTTAATACACATTATAATGCCGTTTTCCATGTCAGTGATGTACTTTATCCTCCTACTCATCCAACTGTATAAAGGAGCTATGCCAGTCACTTCCAGGCTTACGCTGGGTGTTTTCACTTTAAGTTCTTCACTGCTGTTTTTGTGTGGATCTCCTCCAAGGTAATATTTAGAACAACACAGGAATTTGGCTGGGGGGAGGGGGGTGGTGGGTGCTAGGCAAGGAAAACAGCTACTTTATTCCTTTTAAAGACTTACGTAGTTCCTTTTATAAGGCCCAGTCATTAACAGAAGATAACAACGGAGTCATTTTTCTTTCAGCTGACAATTGTGACATTTTTCCAGCAGTGTGCAAGGTGTTGAAAACCTGGCAGCTGTTACCTCCTGGGATGAAGATACTTTTTTATCCTCCCTTGACAGTTTAACTCAGTGGGTCAGCACCTTTAAAGACTGCAAAGTATCCTTGAAGAGGATGGAAGCTTGAATTACTGCTCCCTCCCTAATCAATGTAAACCCTCACTGCAGGTGAAGTCTCCATCTATAGAGGTGCATGGGGGAGGAAAATGTAATGCCCTGAGCCAGATGGTTTTTATCTTGTTTTTAAAGAATAAAGGAACAAGCTAACAAGGGAGACAGCTACTTTGTTAGCTTCTTGGCCTCTCTCATGGCTTTGCATCCCCAGGGTTCCAGCTACACAAGAGAAAGAATACAGAAAAACGTAAACACTTAAAGAAATATAACTAGAGGGCTGGCATCATGCTGCTTTCAAAGCGTTGAGAGAGCTCTACTCAATGCTTTATTTATCACTGCCCACGTCCTCAGGATGGTAAGTGGACACATACACAAAGGGAATGGGGGATGGGGGAAGGATTAGACAGAGGTCACAATTTACTCAATTACAGAGAAAGGCAGGGCTGACAGATCCTATTAGCGCCAACGTGAAGCAAAGAAGGAGTTGCATGTTGTAAGGCTACATTTTAAAAAAGTAATGAGTACTTTCATGTATCCTCCCAGGCCTTTGCCCTTGTTTGCAGATATGAATAAAAGCTATAAACACAGTTACTATAGTTTCCTTGGCTTCACATTTTAGGAATAAAAGTAGAAAAAATTGTGGCTACTTTGTACATCCTTTAAATAAAAGTTCACACCTTACTTAAATGCTAAGAGGTAAGATTATTCTGAAACTTAGAAAATTAAAAGGTAACATTGCTTCTCCCAGCCATGCCCCTCCACCCCTCAACTCTCCTGTCTTCTGATGTTGAATGGAAAAGCGGGTATACAAAATGACTGGGTGATGCAGGAAGTAATGTCTCCTGGCTTTCTCCTTCAATCTTTTCTTTTTCTGCTAATATCTTTGTCAGGTTTTAGAATTATGGTTATGGTGGCCTCATAATACAAACCAGGAGGTGTTCTTTTCTTCTCTCTATTCTGAAAGAATTTGTAAAAGATTGGTGTTATTTATTCCTTAAATGTTTGATAGAATTCACCAGCGAAACCATATGGGACTTTTGATAGTTAATTAAATGAAATTTCTTTCAGACATGGGGCTATTCAATTTTTGTTTCACCTTGTGTTGGTTTCAGTAAATTGTATTTTTTAAGGAATTTGTCCATTTCATCTAAGTTGCCAAATTTTTGGTTTAAAGTTGTTTATAATATTCCATTCTTCTTTTAATGTCTGTAAGAACTGTAATAACCCTTTTTCAGCTCCTCCAATAATTAAATAACTCTCCAAGTTAACACACAGTGGCCATATCGTATCAACCACGGTAAAATCATGTTTTAGAATAATATATGTAATCTATAAAATTAGTTTAAAATATTACTAAACTTGTTAGAGCGTAACTGCGCATTTTAAAACCAATGGTGAAAGAGTTCCTGAAATCCCATTAGAAATATCTGCAAAAGAATCTCAAGTTAAGGGGCTGGCCTATAAGCAAATCTTACTTACATCAATACTAGGTAAAAGGAAGCCTTGGTTTCTTTTTATCTGCATAACTTTACTAAAGCAGGAGTGTGGGGGGCAACACAAGCAAATGACACTTCATTATTGTCACACGCAATAGAAAAAAGAGAGTTTAAACAGCCTATATATTATGTCCTATATTTAAAAAAATCAGCAATGGGGTAATCAAGTTCAGGGCAGTCCTGGACAGCTGCCCTGTGATCCACTTCTATTGACCCCTGTTACTCATTGCTCTTCCCTAAGATTGAGAGGGCAAGCTCCTAGGGAGTGACCACCACAATAGACAGACACAAGCCAACAGTAATCTGGTTCGAGCAAAAAACCAGATGGCACTGTAATAAATTTACAAATCTGCATTCATGGGGCTGTTAAAACACCCAGAAGCTAAAAGCCTCTGAGGGCCCCAGGAGGATCTCCTACTTCCCTGTTTCTAAAGGCCATTTCTCTTTCCAAGAACACTGAGTTCATGCTCTTCACAAAGAGAATGGAGATAAAACCCTTTACAAAGAAAGGGGGTGGGGAGAGCCTCATGACCTAATTAATCTCCAGAGCTTGGATCTCAACAGTGACAGTATCAGAAAAATCATTTTGGAGCACTATGAGGGGAAAAAAGGCAAAAATGGTTAAGTTAAGGTGGAGAGAGTGAAGTAAACCTGCTAAAAAAGCGATAAAAAACATTAAATTTCTTTCAAATGCTGCACACAACAGATCTTGCAAGTAGAAAATGATTTAATAATGTATGCATTTATTTTTTAAATGAATCAGATTAGTCCCATGTGTGACCTGCTGGTCCATCTGTATGTGCTGGACTTAATAGGCACGATTCTCTCTCTTGCTTCAGTTTGAAGTATGAGAGAGATAAATTTAGTTTAATTTTCAACAGATCAGCCTATCCATTTTCCAAATGGACCATCTGGATCAGCCTATTAAAATTAATTTATAACTTTGCAGAGTGAAAATTCGTTTGTTAGCTTAAATAAAGTTGCCAAAACTTTTTGTCATGTCATTGTTTTCTGACAGTTGTTTCTACCTCCAAATTAATCTTATTCAATATTGCTCTATTTATTTACATTTACAGATCAGGTGGTTATCTCCAAATAAAGGTATAACATACAGTAAATAAAAAATGAGTGTCACAGTTTCAAGTACTCTCCCCCTAAATTAACACTGTACACAAACTAAAGTTAGAAGGTGGAGGTAGAGACATTGGGTTTCAAATCACTGACTAGCTAAATAAGCCATCTACCCTCTCTAAACCTCCATTTTCTTAATATATGAATTATCATATCTAACAACTTTATAAATTATTATGAGGAGTCAATGAAATATGTTTCAGGTTCATGGTGGGTACTCAACAAATATTAGATCTCCTTTTTCCTAGAACAATGCCATAAATGCAAGTAAATAAAAATTATTCTCATTATAACTGCTGGTGGTCATCTTGTCCAATATTAAGATAATTAAAAATAAATAGGTGGTGTAATTGAAAAATTTTTTAAAGTTTTAAAAAAAGATGGCACATGTTAAAAAGACCAAAAAAAAAAAAAAGACTGGGTGTTATACCTATTCTCTGACAACACTAAGAATTTTTTGTTGTCAGTGGGAGATGGAAGATGTTAGAGGGTGCTGCTACAGGCAGTTGAGAAGAGCAAATTTTTAAAAATATTTTAATTTTTAAAAGAAAGCACTAATGGAATTGAACTTTCAAAGTTAAATGTGTTATCTGTAGAGAGTGTGATCAATAATGGCCTTTATGTCTAGGAAAGGCCAACAAATATTGTTCAGATTAGAAGGAGAGGAGCTAACTCACTATAGGCAGATCCCTTCTGATTATTTTTTTAAATGTATGGAGAATCTTAAAGGGAAAATAAGGTTTAAAGTCAACTATTCTGCTTCTGCACTTAAGAAGCATTTCAAGTTCTTTTTCCTAAACAATCCTTTTCTTTGAATTTGTTTTCACTACTGGTAAGCAACTGACTGTCCTTCGCTTGTATACCTAGAAGATATTTTATATGTGTGTGTGTGTGTGTCTATATATACATATATGTGTATGTGTGTGTGTGTGTAATCCTCACCCAAGGATATATTTAGTGATTTTAGAGAGAGAAGAAGGGAGAGAGGGAGGGAGAGAGGAAACATTAATTGGTTGCCTCCGGTAAGAACCCTGACTGGGAATGGAACCTGCAACCTTTTTTGGTGTATGGGACGACACTCCTACCAATGGAGCCACCCGGTAGGGATACCTAGGATATTTTTAAAGATTGGGAAAACAATGTTACCTGATTGAAATTGGTGGCTATAGCCACACCAACTTCAAAGTACTCTTAATTTAAGCTCCCATGCTTACCGAATGGCAAATTAAGGGTTTCCTGTCTTTTGTTTTGTTGTTGGTAGCCTTTTATTTTAAGTAAGACTGAATTTCATACCTGTCTAAGTGAATTCTTCTCTGGTATTATCTTCCTAGGGGGTTCGCCATTATTACAGTCTTCTCTCTCTGAGGAATTCTGTGAAAGAAAGTAAGCTTTAATTCACTTCTCATTATCTTCCATCTTATTCTGTGGGAGTAAACTGAATTACATTCTGTAAGCTAGAATACCATGTATACTTATGCATTTATTCATTAAAAGATTTATATACATACAGACATATACTTATGTAAAGGAAAACATATGCCCATGTATATAAATAAATGTATGTAGGGATCTAGGTGGAAAGTATTTTATCTATATTTAAGCACTGCCCAGCAGATCATGTATTAATTAGAAGTCTGCTTTATTGCTTTTTGAAAGTGCAGGTTGACACTGGGCACAAGAAAGTTCTAGGCTACACTTAACTGACAAAAACTTAAACCATCATTGTTACCTCCATTTGTAAATAGTTTTAAACTATAGTAAATGTTTGGTAGGTACAAGTTCTCAAAGTCTGGATCCTAAAAAGTAGTTCTTGCTCTTCCTCCTCTTCTCAGATTTGATTTTCTTTTCTTTATTAAAAATAGAATAGTATTTAACTCAAAACAACATTTAACCAGTAGTTTAGGATTAGAGTCCATTCTTGCCACTATCACCTCAAACAGCAGCTAGAAGACCCTAAAATGTCAATGGGATTTTGAAATACTTAAGAAGAGGGGCATAAAAGTCCACTTGAAAGCAAGTTTAGAGTTCTAAATGTCAACAGAGTGAAAAAAACCAACCCACAGAAAAAATGCTTGCAAATCATCTATATGATAAAGGATTAATATCCTGAATATATAGAGAAATTGTAAAACTCAACAACCAACAATAACAAATAAACAACCCAATTCAAAAATGGGCAAAGGACTTTAACAGACACATACCTAAAGATATACAGGTGGCCAAAAAGCACTTAAAAAGATATCCAACATCGCTAATTATTCTGGAAATGCAAATCAAAACTACAAGGAAATATCACCTCACATTCATTAAGAAGGCTACTATCAAAGAAAGAATGGTGGGGATGATGAGAAACTGGAACTCTTCTGCACTGTTGGTGGGAATATAAAATGATACTTTTTTGGAAATGTATTGCTATAGAATACAGTATGGCGTTTCCTCAAAAAATTAAAAGCAGAATTACCATATGACCCAACAAGTCTACTTCTGATTATATACCCCAAAGAACTGAAAGCAGGGTCTCGAAGAGATATTTGTGCATCGTGTTCACAGCAGCATTATTCACAATAGCTAAAACATGGAAGCAACCCACATATTGAAGGATGGATGAGAGGATAAGCCAAATGTGGTACACATACATGATGGAATAGTATTCAGCCTTAAAAAGGAAGGAGATTCTGACACATACTACAACGTGGATGAACCTTTAGAACATTACGCTAAGCAAAATGAGCCAGTCACAAAAATATAAATATTGTACGATTAGACTTATATGAAATACTTAGAATAGTCAAAATCACAGATACAAAAAGTAGAATGGTGGTTACCAGGGTCTGGGAAGAGTGAATGGACAGTTATTATTTAATGGATAGAGAATTTCAATTTTATAAGATAAAATGAGTTATGAAGATGGATGGGGGTGAATGAATGTATTCAATACCACTGAACTGTACACTTAAAAGTGGTTAAGAAGGTAAATTTTATGTTATGTGTATTTTACCACAATAAAAAATAATTGAAGAAAAATCTGGTAATCAACACATGTAAATCACTACCTGCAAAGCAAAATACAGAAAATCCAAACAGATACATATTATTTGGGTTCTATTTTCCACAGCTACATTTGTAATGTTAATATTTTAAAATTTACAGCTGCTATATTCACTATATTACATATATTCATCATATTCTAAGTGGTGAGTTATTTTATTTTTAGATTCAGAAATTCTTTCATACACATGAGTTTACCTGAAAATTTTCATACAGGTATGAAATCATTAGTAGGATGAAATCAATATAGGATCATAGCTGTATTTTAAATTTAGATATTAGTTATACTTTTTTGGTTTGTAACAATTATATTATTAAAGGATAAATACCATATGTATACAGTGTCATTTAAAGGCCCTTGCACCTGTGGCTAACATCTATGTGTGCTTCATGCATTACCTTTAGTTGGCTTGACAGGCCAGTACTGTTCCTTTGCACACTGTTGGAACTAAGGTGTTCCTGTTGGACAGAAATCTCTTGGGAGGTTTAACTTGATATTTTACATTTGTGATGGTCACTTTAAGGTTAAGGTCCCTAAAATTAAGACAAAGAAGAAAAAACATGCTATGGTACAAGCAAAGGACAGAGACTCAATAACTTAAGAGTTCTAACTGCTTTTTTCCCTGTTTTGAAAAAAAGGAATGTAGACTGACTACAAAAAAATGAGGAAGAGATATAGTTAATGACTATTAAACATTCCAAGTAAGGAAACTAGCAATATATGGCATTATAAGAGAATCAAAGGAGGGCAAAGGTCAATTTGTATGACGGCAAAATCTTAATACAAACTGAAGGCAAGAGACTCCACCAGCAAAAAGATTATGGCATGCTTTACTGCGATACTCATCATCATGGTGGTCTGGAACCAAACCCGCAATATCTCCAAGGTATGCCTGTATTAAATTCTTTTTTTAAAGTATAAATCACTGTTTTAAATACTAAAATTAAATGTCTTATATAATAAAAACTTAAGCCAGTATTCAATTATAACTATTCAATTATGCCAGTATTCAATTATAACTGTATTCAATTAAGCCAGTATTCAATTATAAACTTATAATTTACAAGTAATTATTCCCCAGAAGTTGCGCCTTTCTTTAAATAAAATACCTTTTCTGATAATCAAAACCTATTTAATTCAATGTAAGATCCTGTATTTCAAAATGAATTATGTTTTGTTAAAATGTCATCATAATAAACTTGGAATCCTAATTACTTTTCGGTGGAAGTTTGTTATACTAAAGATATTATAAATTACATTTTTATTCTACAGGTGCTTGGGATGAAACAAAACTTATGGTAAATTCTCTACACTAAATTACACAGTGAAAAATAGTGATCTGAACTCTAATAGGATGAATAGTAACTATCTAGCCCATATCCACAATTTTCTTCTTCCTGACCCTCTATTTTATCTGATTTAGAAGAGGAACTATTGAGTGGGTATTATGAGAGCATCTAAGGTATGAAAAGGTGAAGGGAGCTTAAAGGATAATTACTGCCTGAGAGCAGAACACAGAGCTGTAGAGAAGCTCCTTTCCTTCCCATCAAGGCAAAGGAGATTTTATACATGCACACACTCTTAAACAGGAAAAAGAGAAAAACAAACTTGTTATAACTAGTTCTTTTTGGATAGACTGATGCAACATTTTTTACCCTAGACCACCCATCATGAGAAAGCAAATCAATACAAAAAATTCAACTATGCTGTTATATAAAATAGAGGTAGTGACATTAAACAGTCATGGTATCAGGAGCAAGGAGTAAAGTACCCTCCCAATAGTGAAGAGGAAAGCCAAAAAGCCAGTGAATAAGAGAGGAATAGCTTTACAGTCTTGAGGGTAGAGGTATACATGAAATAGCCATGTATACCTAAGCCATGTATACCTAAGTGGTCACCTCTGATTCTCAAAACCTGTGCACTCTCCAATATCACCCAGAAGAGTTCAGCAGCACAGTTATTCCTTGTATATTTAACTATGATGCATCCTAATAAGCAATCTTCACAACTGCGCTGGGTCATCAAGCTAAATTATGTCCAATAAGTTCTATTTAAGGGTAACTAATTAATGCAAGCAAGACTCATCACATGAATTAGCAGGTGAAAGACAAATAACAGTATAGTTACCTAATGCCAAAACATTTTTCCATAAGATATTTAATAATTACAAAAGGAAAAATAGTAACCTCACAGTGGAGAGATTTGGCAGATACCATCTTAACATTATGTGCCTCTTGATATGATGAACTGAGAAGAACACATCATTACTGCTGAGATAACCTCGCCAGAAACACATAACCTCAATCTGATCATGAGAAAACATCAGACTGAACCAAATTGAGGGACATCCTATAAAGTCTGTACTTAACAAAGAATGTCAAGGTCATGAAATACAAAGAAAGACTAAGGGACAGTTTCTAGTTAAAAGGAAACTAAAGAGACATGACAAATGAATACAACTTGTGATCTGAGATTTTGGGGGCTATAACAAAATTGATGGTAAATTCCTCTATACTGAATTATACAGTGAAAAATAGTGATCTGGGGTAACAGAATAAACAGTAACCATCTAGCCCATATCCACAATTCTCTTCTTCCTGACCCTCTGGTTTATTTGATTTTGATGCCTAACTACTGGGCAGGTATTATGACAGAATGGTATAAATGACATTACTGGAACTGGAAAAATTTGAATAAGGTATTTAGATAAGCTAATAACATGGTATCAATATTAATTTCCTGATTGTTTCCCCCCTTTTAAAATTTACATAAAGAAAAATTCATTCTTTTTTTGGTGTATAGTTCTATGAGTTTTGACAGAAGCATACAGTTGTATAACTTCCACCACAACTAAGATGTAAAACAGTTCCATCACTCTCCAAATTCTCTTGCACTGCCTTTTCATAGTCAACCCCTTTCCCCAATAACAGCTTTTTATTTTTTGTCTCAAAACTGCCTTTTCCAAAATGTCATAAAATGGAAACATACAGTATGTAATTTTTAGAGCCTGTCTTTTTTCACTTAGCATAATATATTTGAGATTCATTTGTGTTGTTGCATATATCAGTTCTTTTCATTGCCAACCAGTATCATTGTATGAATGTACCATAGTTTGCTTATACATTCAATTTCCTGATTTTGGATAATTTGTACTGATTATTTAAAATAGTGTCCTTGTCCTGGCCAGTATGGCTCAGTTGGTTGGAGAGTCATCCTGTACACGGAAAGGTTGAGGGTTTGATTGCTGGTCAGGGCACATACCTAGGTTTTGGCTTTGATCCCTGTTCGGAGTGCATATGGGAGAGAGCCAACTGATGTTTCT